GGCCAATCAAATGCTGCTCAGTATAAGTATAAAACAAAAATATATATACAGTATACACTAAACTGTACAGTATACAAACCCTCGAGTCATCTGGCCTCCAAGGGCACAAAGGAGGCTCGCTTTAGCAAAGTGGGCGAGTCTCCTTGGTTCGCTTGCGCGCAACCCTAGGTGCGCTTAAGCAGCATGTCACTGTGGGCTAGTGTGGTCACAATCCTCTCACGCCAAATGTGGCGAATGTTAAGTCCACTGAACTCCTGGAGTGAAGTGCACTTTTGGGTGTACTGTGACACCGTGGTGTTTTGTGACCTGCTCACCTCACGCAGCTATTGGGGTGATGTGCAATTGTCGAATCGCACACCCTGCGCACAGCCCATTGGCACATAGTGCGCGCCTCACTCAGACTTGCCATCCTGCGCTCACAGGGCAAGTTTCTCACGCATTCCCGCAAGAACAAAGCATCTTGCACACCACAGCTTGAGGATTGATTCTTTTCGCCCGTAGCTTCGGTGTTGCTGCAGATGGGGTAAAGGAAGGGCAAGACGAGTTTGCTGCAGTGTAATCGATCCACGCAGTCAATCAGGATGACAGGGATGAAGTTCTTCTGCATCAGAAGCGACGGCTGCGAATGTAGAGAAATCAGAGAAGCCTGCATTGTTTACTAGCGTCAGGCTGAACTATGTCATTGCAAGCATTGAACCCTTAACAGAGACATGCTCTACGGTGAGTGGTTGCTTCCTGGTGGGTCTTTGCTGTACTTTGGGTTGCAGGCGTAGAGATGTAGAATATTTTGCGTGATTCCAGACGCTGCGTAAACTTTGTGAGTATATCCTTTCGAAGTGTGTAGCATCTCTATGCCGCGTAGGTCTCCAGACTGGCAACGAACGATTGCTGCGCGAGGCGGTAAGTCACAGTATAGGGACACATGATCAAACTTCAGTGATGCTTTATTGAAAACCCACGTCGGGGGGGTAGCTGGCTGACGTCAGCTACAACTCTGCAATATTAGTTTTGTAAGCCACACCCATCCATGAGTGTCTGCGCTATCGAACTCAAATCGAATGTCTTTGAGTGCATTGCGTGGCAAAGTCAACGCGTGCGTTGTGCTGGCAATGGTTGTCGCATATCTGAAGGTAGTTAACATCGCTCTGCTGCGCCACCACAGCAGGGTCGTCATCTGTGCTTGCACCCCGCGCGAACAGGAAATGTCTGCAGCATGTAGGTGCATCGGATGTTCTGTGTATACTTGGAAGCTTTGATGCTTGCCTGTGGGTAGGGATGCAGTGTTTTGCTCAATCGTGGGGTCCATTGCACATGTGGCTGGTGCCGGGTTTGGCCCTCAGCCACCTTCCACGTGTATACTACCCATTGATTTAAGACACGTACAAGTGCGGGCTTCGCCGTCTGGCACGCGTGGAGCAAGTTCAACAACAAGCTACGCTGGGGACGATGTTCTGGAAGCTTTTGCCACCATGAACGCAACCAATGTCTATCCGAAAGCTCTTCTTCACTTTTTGCACCATCAAGCCACGTGGAAATTCAGCTTCTATCCTGCAGAACACTATAGCGCAGGCACGGTGGTGCACACGGTTCTGCAGTTATACAGTTCAAGCAGCGATGCTACATGGACAGAGCGGCAGCAGTGTAGCGATCTTTCAAGCAGTAGCAGCAGCGATGATCATAATTTACCCCTCGCACGAATAGTATGCGAACTGAGTGGCGAAAAAAGCGCGAGCTTCTCAAATTCTCTGTGCAATATATGTTCGCCCCCCTACTCATCACATTCATCCTCCTGCTGTGCTTTCGGGCCACCCTGTCGTCATCTGTCATCTAGATTCTGCTTCTTCTTCTGCTTATGACTCTGCTGCTTATTCTTTGCTGCAGCATTTTTTGTGCGGCTGTTTCATTGTTCTTCTGTTTCTTCGTTGCGCTCATTCTTCTTCTCCTCCCTTATCCTGCTTGCTCTGCACCTTCATGTTCTTCTTACTCTGCCTTTTTCCTGCTGCTTCTTCTGCTTGTGACTCCGCTGCTTAAATATTATTCTGCTGCTGCTGCTGCTGGTTGTTCGCGCAGCTGTTTCTTCTTCTTCTTCTTCTTCTTCTGCTGCTGCTGCTTCGACCTTTTATCTTCTCCTACTGCTTCGCTTTCTCCTGCCTTCTCTTTCTCCTTCTTCTTCTCTTCCTTTGGTTGTGCTTATTTGTCTTCTTCGTTGATCTTTTCTTGTATATATTCATTATTATTTCAGAAAGGGTGGCCATGGGGCCTGGGTTTTGGTTTTCCATACATTTTCATAAATATTAGGTAAATGCATCAGTGCCACAATCAAAACCAAAAACCCCTGATAAATATGCATAAAGGATAAAAAACACATAAGAAAAAGCCAAAAAGAACTAAAAACCATGGGAAAACAAAAAAACTAAAAAAACAATTCTGGAAGACTCTTGGCTGGACCCCCCAAAATCAGAAAAACCAAAAAAAAAACCTTGGGAAAAAAAAACAATTCTCAGAGACTCTTGGCTGGACCCCCTTTTCCTCAAGACTTCCCCAGAATTGTTTTTTTTTGTTTTCCCAAGGTTTTTTTTGGTTTTCTGATTCTTCTGATTTTGGGGGGTCCAAGCAAGAGTCTCTCAGAATTGTTTTTGTGTTTTTTGTGTTTTCTCAAGGTTTTTTGGTTTAGCATCTGAGCTTACTTCTCACCTCAAGGCATCTGTTCTTTTTGCTTACATCTGAAACCGTCTGAGCTCAACACTTCCTTTGTCCTTGTCCAAATCTCCATATACAAGTCTGAGTGCATTAACTGCTGACTGGTATCAATGCGGTTGCCACTTGCATTTCCAAACAGCTTGACATGCAGTTGCGAGGACGCTCTGTCCTTTACATGAAACGGTTGGAAATCTTTGCGAGCGTAATTCTGTGTTTGTAGCTCAAGCGTTTACATCTTATTCTGGCGAACTTCTAATTGTAATTTCAATTCCTTTCTAATTCAACTCTCATCTAATTTCAATTAGGCTATAGTTATAGTTCAATACAAGTTTAGTTAAAATTTGGTTTTACTTCAGTTCTATCTTAGCTCTAACTCACATCCATTTTAATTCTACCTAATTCTATTCTAGCTCTAGTCTATTTAGTTTAAGAAAACACATGCTACAAAACCTCGTGTTTTACAGTATTTTTTGCCCTGGAAGTGCTGGGAACAAGACTAAAACTCTTTTTTGAAGTAAATAGTTAGATTTATTTATTGTCAGTAATCACTGGAGATAATATATACATATTAAACATGTTTTATGTACAAGCTTCTAATTCAAGAGCTTCCCTCTAGATCTCTGGGGACGATCATTTCTACAATAAAACTATATAAGCTTTCCTTTCAAAAGCTTTCCTCTGGATCTCTGGAAATGGTAATGTCAATTGAAACATGCTATATATCAATAAATAAGTCTTTCTTTCCAGAGCTTTCCTTTCATGAAGACACATATAGGGATATCTACTTTCCCAGAGATCCTGAGGAAAGCTTTGAAAATGCAAGCTCTTGCCCGCAGAAATCTAGAAGAAAGCTTTTAACATACAAGGTTTCTATATGGTTGTGTAAATCTAAACGTGATTATCTGCAGAGATCTATAAAGAATCTTTTGTAACATAAAAGAGTCTATACACAATCTTTCCAAATCTAAACATAATTATAAGCAGAGATCTAGAGGACAATTGTTAGAACGACCACTTTTATGGCTTGCTTCTTTTCTAATTATCTTGTTCAAAACCATCTGAATGACTGATTGCTGCTTCCAAAACAATAAAATTATCCTGACTCAGGAATACATACGTAATATCTTTGTTCATATAGAGTGAGAGCAAGAATAGATATGTGTGTTTATATGGAGAGGGGCTGCCACTAAAGCATGTACCTAAAATTTTAGGGAAAACCAAAACCCAGGCCCCATGACCACCCGCTCTCTATTATTTTCTGTTCTTCTTCTTCTTCTTCTTCCTGTGCCTCTTCTCCTTCTTGAATTCGATATTCGGCCCCGGATGGCCGTGGCCGGCCGGCCACGACCACGGCCGGAAACCAAAGAAATCTAGTGCACCAGCTTACTATAGACACATCCACTCCATGCTAAATGATGCAAAATGCATCCGTTTCCACATTCTAGTCAGGCACTCCTATTCGTACACCGGTAAGATTTCACGCATTTCATCAAGTTTCTTGCAAAGACTTCCCCTAGGTCATACTGACTTATATCATATATCTACATTGAGTCAAACCATATAGAGAGTAATTATATAGCTTCAAGTCTTTGCCATCTCTTTCTTGAAGGGGTCGAAGAGCCAGCAGGCAACCTCAAAAAGCTTAAGTTGACTCAGTTGACATCCAATGCCAAGCATCTCATTCCGAGGCGGCGCATGAGATCAACAACGCTGCGACGTGATTCTGGGTTTACACCTTTCGGTGGGTCTGCAACAAAGCGCAGGGCGTCAGAAGGCCAACCTGCCGCAAGGCTGGCCGTCTTGAGTGGAGCCGGACGTAACAACCAAACACATCAAGAAACCACAAGAATCGAAACTTCACCTTTGCCCCTGCATGAGGCTCAGTCAGGAGGGCCTTTCATCATGGCTTTCTGTGATTCTGGTGGTCCCGACAGGACGAACTGATACCTCTTCAGTGGTTGCCAAGTCCTGACAAAAGGGATGCCAGGCGCCATATGCCCTAGAAGTCGCATCAAAACGCTAGGAAACAGGTGCAGACTATTGACTCATGGTTAATGAAAACTTGGATCCAAACCCATCTGCGGCTTGAATAAAGCGCACATCAGAGAGTCCGTCACGGATCATCTCCTCAAGCTAAGCCCATTAAGACTCATGCGGCGTGTCCGGATACTCCCAACAAGTTTGTAGGAATCTTCCTATCCACAAAATTGTACATTTAAACCGCCCTTGCCATCCATATGAAATCAAACCCGAAGGCTGCAGCGCCAAGGATCCAAAGACTCCGATGTTTCCGTAAATTCCTAGACAGGTGGCGGGTTGCAGCCTCCGTGCCATGCTTGTAGTTCATTTTCAAACCAGAAGAACTCACCACACAAAGTATCGCAGTTGCAGCCACAGTTGGTCTTCGAACTGTCCTGAGGATTTTCATTCCAATCATTTGCATCTTCCTCCCGTCGATGTTGCTCCTCTTCAATCTCGTTCTTCACACGCAGGGCAATCCGTGATAACATCCTGAGCTGGTTTGGGCAATCTTGTGGCGTCGGGTGGTCTCAACCATTGGCAAACATCTATATGTATTGGCCATTATTACTATTTTTACATATATAGATAAACATTCAAAGCAGGCCTGTCATCAAGAACGACTCTCAGGTAACACATCCGATGTGAAAGACTGCAAAATTATCCCTGGACACTTGTGGCAGAGTTAGTCAGTCATACCGTCATACCAGTTATAGTCAGTCAACTGATGTCAACATAGGTCAACCGTATGTTAACAATCAACATTGACAGCTGCTACACTAGAGAGTGTTGGCTGAGCTTGTTGTTCAAATGCACAGATCTCATCTGAAAGTGTTCATCGCAAACAAGAGGCTGGCCAACGAAGCCAGTCACTCCCGAAGACTTGCCCTTCTCAATCCTCCTAAATCGCTTGAAATCCAAAGAAGCTGCAGAAGCAGGTGAGCATGCTGGTGCTGCCAGGTTCTCAAAACACACACACACACAGGATGCGTGCAAACAGGAGGCTGTTGGTCTATGGCCTTGAAGACACATATGTAATCCGATACTCCGAGCTCTTCCTGACAGCATCTGATACAAAGCGTCTCTCTCTCTCTCTCCCTCTGAATGGGGAGCCATGAATAAGAAGAACTTTGTGAAGCCCAAACTGTGGGAACAACAGCGAGACTGGCAAATAGCTAGGTGAAGGCAATCCAGATCTTGGAATACTGAAGGAAGAAACGAAAAGCTCACCACAACATCGTACTCTGCCCTGACTCAGATTGAATCTCTCTCTATATAAATTTATAGGTTATATATATATATATACTCCGATTGAAATGTCAAGGCAAGTTCTTTTTAATCATGGCTTGGGGTTTTCACAAACATGGATCTTCTGGAATGCCCATGCACTTGAACCTGGAAACAAGTGCACATTGCAATTGGTACCGTTGTCACCGTTGTCACATTAGATGTTCCGCAATGTTCCGCCAACCTGACTCTGCACCAGCGACGGCATCTATCCCATCCTGGATTCCATAGCGGCCGAGCAGTTCATGGAGGTTGGACCTGGCTCCTGGCAAGACTTCCTTTCCACTCACCACCAAAAATGCCTACGATACCGTTTCCTTGAGGGTCGCCCTCAGGTCTCGGGGCAGTGAGAGGAACAGGGGACCAGAAGTCACAGCAACAACACAAACAGAAAAACCAAGAACCATCACTATCACCATCATAAACAAGAAAGGCAGGTAGCCTACAGTAGCACCTGCCAACCCAACCAGCGCTTCGATGCTTGTCAAACACCACGACACAAATGGAGGTTTGGCCTTGCCCAAGCTCGCTGTATGCAAGCAACAAAGTGACCTAGCTGACCCAACACACAGCCTCCAGCCGCTTCGCTTCGCCCGCCTCTGCGCCGCCATGAATGCGGCCACAACGTTCTTTGGCCAAAGTAGTAATTGGCGACAACTCGCTTATCGAGGCACCTCAGCTTAGCAAAACTTGGAACAACTCAGCACGCTCAGCTGTTTTTCCCTATACGTTGCTCATGACCCCCTTATATAAGCATGGCAAGCCACTGTCTCATCAAGTCAATCATGTCATCGCTTGCTCTTCCCGCGAAGCCGTCCAGGCACTCGGCTCTGTCGCAAAAGACCAGCCTGGGCCCATAGAGCACGGGCAAAGGGATCAAAAAAATAGTGAAGGGATCAATAAAAAATACTTATATATACTTATATAACCCATCAAGGAAAAATAATGACCCAATCAAAGAAAACCCGAGCTTAATTTTGTGGAGGAAGGTGCAATTCCAATGCAACATTTTGTGAGCCCTGCGAGTAAAATATAGAGGCGTGAGGTGACATTCCAATAAAGCAAACCTTGTGTGGGCCGCCTGGGGGCAACATCTTAACGTGGAAGGTGCAATTCTAAGGTGGAATACCTTTTGTGAGCATCGCCGACAAGGGAAAAAGGCAATTCCAATGTATATGTGATATTTTTTTGTGACGAGTGTAAAATTTAGACCCGCATTCCGCTTGCAAGTTTTGCGAAGGTAAAACTCAAAGGAAGAAGGCCCCATTCCAAGGTGGCAAACCATTTGTGAGCCATGCGAGAAGGGTGAAGCGGAGAATTTGAAGGAGGAACAACTCATACTCTACTACTACTGCTGCTGACCCACCGTAGTACTACTACCACGACTCCTACTCCTAGTCACTCCTGCACTACTACTACTACTACTACTACTACTACTACCACTACCACTACCACTACCACTACCACTACCACTACTACTACTACTACTACCACTACTCCTCCTCCTCCTGCTGCTGCTGGCTGTTACTACGACTATTACCGCCACTGCCTTCATACCACAGCAGCAACAACAACTACTAGTTAATGTTGGATGCTGATTAGTAAATGGGCCCTCTATAATGCTAAATTTTTCCAAAATTATTCCAGACCCCATGTTTGAAAAATGGTTCCTGAATAATGCTAACTTTTTTGGGGGCCCTAAATTTTCAATTTGGAAACCCAATTAATAAGGGTTTGAATTCCTTCTGAGGCCAATGATTATGATTCATTAGCTGATATAGCTTTCTCTAGGTTCTTCAAAACTGACAGCTGACCAAAACCACCAATTCCCCAATTAAACCCTTTATAAAACATTGCTCCTAAACAAATTTTCAAGGTAGTAGAC